GGCTCCTAATGTCCCCAAGTGCCTTGCATCAATAAATTGAGGCTGGCTCTAAGAATGAACTCATTTAGTTGGAACAGGCAGGCCTATTTGCCCTGTGGTTTGAAAAATACAATGTTGCCCTTTCCTGGCTTCCAGAATTCATATCCATGTAAATTTTTCAGCATAAATATTTGTTGTTTGTTCTATTTTTCATGACTATGAAGGAAAACCAAACTTCAGCTTAATAAGAGTTGCCTATGGCCTGAACTTGGGGCTTAAATAATATTTCCACATTAGCAACAAAGTGTGAAGGAGACTTTCCATCAAAGGAAGGAGTTTTCATTAGCCACACGCCAGGAAGCCTTTTGTTTAAAAAAATAAATAATAGACTTTATTTTTTAGAGCAGTTTTAGGTTCACAGCAAAATTGAAAGGAAGGCGGAGAGTTCCCATATACTCCCTACCCCTACACATGCATAGCCTCCTCCACTGTCAACATCTCCCACCAGAATGGTACATTTATTATAACTGATAAACCTACATTGACACATCAATATCTCTCAAAGTCCATAGTTGACACTGTGGTTCACTCTTGGTGCTGTACATACCATGGGTTTGGACAAATTTGCTATGACGTGTATTCACTCTTTACCTGAAATTCAAATCAGGCTTTCTGTATTTTACCTGGCAAACAAAGCCTGTGACAAAGCCATGCAATCAAAATATCTTAAAAAAGGAGGAAAAATGTTTTTCAAGATCTTCCAAGTATCGAGGGCTAAGAAAAAACACTATAAGCGCTGCTTCAAATCCTTATTACTATAACTCTAGTAATACAAATTATGTAACATATAGATTAATGAGTCTCTAAACCAGCATAATTTTAACTTCTGTGACTCTAATGTTTTCCCATTAGCTTATATTAAAATTTTAGTAATGTTTTACCCTCATTTCTGATTAATCTTCAGTTAATTGTTAATTGAACTTAACTTTCTATATGCCCAGGTTCCTAAATTAATGTTAATGACCTATTTAGAATTCTTGAATAGAGCCTATAATGTGAGTCCTTTTGTAAAACAGAGTCTCTTTTTTTTAAATTTGAAGACTCTTCTGTATTTTGATTAGTCACTCCTAATATATCTGTTTTATAAGTTCCAATTTATATAGAAGCATGTTTTTTTTTAAACTGGGCACATCTGTATTTATTTCCTCTTTACTAGCTTATTGTTGAAAGAAATCACCAATAGCTAAAACAGCTCATTTTAAAAAAAAAAAAAGTCAATTGTTTCTGTCAAAGTGATTTAAAGTTGTTGTTTTGTTTTCTTTTCTTTTGAAAGAACACTTCCTAAAGGAAGTTCAGTGAGAAAGCAGTACAAAGGAAAGGACAAATTAAGAGCACTCTTGGCCGGGCGCAGTGGCTCACACCTGTAATCCCAGCATTTTGGGAGGCTGAGGTGGATGAATCACCTGAGGTCAGGAGTTCAAGACCAGCCTGGCCAACATGGTGAAATCCCATCTCTATTAAACATACAGAAATTAGCCAGGTGTGGTGGTGGGCACCTGTAATTGCAGCTACATGGGAGGCCAAGGCAGGAGAATTGCTTGAACCCAGGAATTGGAGGTTGCAGTGAGCCGAGACCATGCCATGGCACTCCAGCGTGGGCAACAGGAGCAAAACTCTGTCTAGAAAGAAAGAAAGAAAGAAAGAGAGAGAGAGAGAGAGAGAGAGAAAGAGAGAGAGAGAGAGAAAAAGAGCGCTCTCCCGGGCCCCCTTAAGAAAGCATTACTCAGGGAGCAGAGAGCTTTGGGAGACCCAGGGGAGGTGGGCGCTGAGAATTACTGCTGCTGCGAAGCTGCAGAAAGCTGCGGAGGAAAGGCAGTTTGGAGCTCTCTGGTGGGCAATGACTGTGCCACTCATGGCAGAGTGGCTTTCCTGAGTAATGTGTTCATTTTGGAGCATTTCATTTCATAATGATGCAGTTTTCAGCTGAAGTCCCAGTGTCCCCTTGAAAAATTAAGAACTCTCTTTCCCCCTAGTAAAATGACCCGACTCATTCAGCCAGCAGTTACCGTAGGCCTCCACAGCCTACCCAAGCACCTGGAGATCCCTCAGTGAATAAGCAGGACAGAGTTCCTGCCTCTTGGAGTTGACATTCTTTTACAGAAGACAGACTATAAATAACAACCCTAAGAAATCAGTTAGATGGTGTGTTAGAATGTATCTAGAATTATGGTGGAGGGGGAGGCACAGGGCAGGGGTATCTGGATTAGGGGTTGGGGAGGAATCTTGTTTTAAACAGGGAGGTCAGGTGGGACTCATGGACAGTGACATTTGAGCAAAGACTTGAAGGAGATGTGGGAGTGGCCACAGGGTGGGAGACATGTAATCTGATATTCTTTGCCTACGTATATTGCAGGTAAAATACAAATTGCTCTATAGGCCAAGGGACCAGGTGGAGAGGGGACAGCCAGCACAAAGGCCCTGAGTTCCTGACTGTTTGAGCTGTAGTTCTCAAGGGATGGTGTTGCCCCTAGGGGACATTTGCAATATCCAGTCATGACCTTGATCTGTCATGACTAGGATGGGGGATGCTACAGGCCTTGTTTTAGTCCATTTTCTTACTGCTATGAAGAAATACCTGAGACTGGGTAATTTATAAAGGAAAGAGATTTAATGGACTTACAGTTCCACATGGCTGGGGAGGCCTCACAGTCATGGCAGAAGGCAGAGGAGGAGCAAAGTCACATTTTGACATGGCGGCAGGCAAGAAAGCATGGGCAGGCAGGGGAACTGCACTTCATAAGACCATCAAATCTCATGAGACTTATTGACTAGTACCAGAATAGCACAGGAAAAACCTGCCCCCACGATTCAATAACCTCCCACCAGGCCCCCTCCCATGACATGTGGGGATTATGGGAGCTAAAATTCAAGATGAGATTTGGCTGGGGACACAACCAAACCATATCAGGCCTCTGCTGGGTGGAGGCCAGGGATGCTGCCAAACATCATACAGTGCACAGGACAGTCTCCCACAATGAAGATGACCCAGCCCAAAAGGCCAGTGGTGCTGACACTGAGCCCCGTGTTTGGGGAATGGTAAGGAAGCCAGGGTAGCTAGATGGGAGGGAGGAAGAGGAGAAACAGGAAAGGAGGTCAGAGTTACGTAGTAAAGGCTGGAGGAGAGGGGCAGCCAGGTCAGGTAGGGCCTTTAGAGCCAGTGTGGATTTGGGCTTTTTCTCCAAGAGTAATGGAGAGCCATTGGAAGGTTTTGAGCAGAGAGGGTTATGTTCTGCGTTTACAGTATCTCTCTGGGGGCTGGGTAGACGATAGATCGAAGGTGGGTAAGGGTAGAATGAGGGAGCCCAGTTCAGGGGCCACTGCAGTTATCCAGGCAAGAGGTGACAGGACTTCAGCCAGTGTGGAAACAGCTCTGTGACTTCTGTGCAGCCGATCCAGCCAATGCCAAATTTCAGAGAGCAACCGGGCATTCTATGGCTTCCAGTCACCAGTCTCTTCATTGTCATATATCGTATGTTTTACATATTACACACACACACACACACACACACTACACACATACGTGGTTAAGTTGCCTTTGCTAGATTTTGTTCTATAGGAAGGGATACCTGATATTTTAACAATTAAATAGGTTAGGTTTATGACAAAACAATTTGACATGGGTTAGACATAATGTAATCTTTCTATGCTTTAACACAATCTTGGCAAAAAACATTTACTCTTGCTGACAGCTCTTCTGTGGTATATTTATTTAAGCCACTTATAATCCTAAACATAATAAATAACCTGAAAAATGAGGTGAGGGAGACGTAAAAGGCCTAATACCTAAGAAATAGGTGTTTGAATTGTATTTCCCCTGTTTAGAAATTTATTACATTGTTCCATTAGTTACTTTTCTCTTCTTACTTGATCCGCCAAAGCAAACGCTGAAATCCCGCAGAAAGCACCGAGAAACTGCTGATTCATACTTTCACCAAAGGTCTCAGACATCTTAGTGTCCCCGCATCCTTCCTCCATGTGATCTCCCTAATGAGCCTCTTGTCCTGCTTGCAGCCAGACCGTGGGAGCCATGTGACAGCCTGCAGCTGAGGCCGGACCTCACCCTTGGGGGCAGGGCTGCTTCTATCCACAAACAGCATCTCATTTCATTTATTGCTTTGATACATAAATGCCATTTTACTCTATCACTGGACTTTTTTGTTAAAGTCATGCTGTTCAAAGGAAGCAGTAAATTAGTCTCTTTGTTAGTAAAATGTAAATTGTTTTCCTGTTCCTTAATGATTTTTAAGGAAGTTTTAAACTGTAGTTGCATTCCTGAGCTCTTCATGTGTTCTGTCGGAATGGTTCTTGTCCCACTCAGCCACACAGAATCAAAGCAAGTTTCAGGGAAGAGCACTCAGTATTCCAGATAAAGGTAGCCATATTGGAAGACCTCACTTCTTTCACCCTGTAAGATGGTGTCTCTCAAAGTTTGGTGCGTGGATCTTTGACATTAGAATTCCTTGGGGCTTGTTAGAAGTGCAGATTCCTTGGCCCCTCCCCAGATCAACTGACTCATTGTCTTCAAGGGTAAGGCCAAGAATCTGCATTCTAGTCAATATCCAGGGTATTTTCCTGCACACTCACATTTGAGAACCACTACTCTAGGTTGTGTGACTAGGCAGGAAAAATGCCCCTAGAGGATTGGCCAGCTCACAGCAAGCTCTGTATGGACTTGTTAAAAATGGTGGATGTTATTCAAATGAAAACTACGCTTCTAAGGATTTGTTTTCTTCGAGGAAGTATGTCACCACCATGGTAGTCTCCTCTTCCAACTAAATCATCTTTCTTCTGTGCATTTTTGCCTCTGTTCTTGGGGATTACAATGGTCCCGTAGCTTAATCAACTGATAGTTTTGCTGTGGGTCCAATTTTTGCTGACTTTAGGGGGGCACTTTGATTTTGAAGATGGCTTGAAACGATCATTTTGTCTCATGTGCCATTTTCTCTTTTCTTGTTGAACAGCAAATATGCCAGAGGATTATCCTGATCAGTTTGATGATGTCATGGATTTTATTCAAGCCACCATTAAAAGACTGAAAAGGTCACCAGATAAACAAATGGCAGTGCTTCCTAGAAGAGAGCGGAATCGGCAGGCTGCAGCTGCCAACCCAGAGAATTCCAAAGGAAAAGGTCGGAGAGGCCAGAGGGGCAAAAACCGGGGTTGTGTCTTAACTGCAATACATTTAAATGTCACTGACTTGGGTTTGGGCTACGAAACCAAGGAGGAACTGATTTTTAGGTACTGCAGCGGCTCTTGCGATGCAGCTGAGACAACATATGACAAAATATTAAAAAACTTATCCAGAAATAGAAGGCTGGTGAGTGACAAAGTAGGGCAGGCATGTTGCAGACCCACCGCCTTTGATGATGACCTGTCGTTTTTAGATGATAACCTGGTTTACCATATTCTAAGAAAGCATTCCGCTAAAAGGTGTGGATGTATCTGACTCCGGCTCCAGAGACTGCTGTGTATTGCATTCCTGCTACAGTGCAAAGAAAGGGACCAAGGTTCCCAGGAAATGTTTGCCCAGAATGGAAGATGAGGACCAAGGAAGCGGAGGAGGAGGAGGAAGAAGAAGAGGAGGAGGAGGAAGGCAGCCATCTTGGGAGCCTGGTAGAGGGAGATCGAGCTACAGACAACTGGACAGGAGAGAGAGAAAACAGCCCTCTGGATTCTCCAGGATGGCAGCCGATGTCACTAGAAGCTCAGAGCTGATGTTCCTGGTTGGCTGTTGCCACCGTTTCAGCTGATACGGTCCACTGTCACTGATCACCGGCGCGGCTGCGGATGCACTTGAACCAAACCAGTGTATCTCCTGTGATTTGTTTTCATGTGTCTGAAGACACCAGGGAAACAGGGATCCTGGTGTTGTTCCTTGTCATTACGTTTTACTGCTGAAAGTAAGAGGTTTATTTTTCTGTCACTCAGTGGAGACATACCCTGGAAAGGAGAGGGAAAAAAAAAAAAAGCAAAGATACAAGAGATAATCACCTTTGCATTTGAAAGTCGAGGCCCGAGGTTTACTACAACCAGCATTTTTGCCAACAGTTGGTGATGGATTTCCATCATCGTGTGTGGGGTGGGAAGAAGTTGGCTAGGAACCAAAAAGGCTATGCTCATGATTAAACACAAACCTGAAGGTATTTCCTTTATGTCCTTGGAAACAGGAAACGAGTTATGGTTTTCGCCAGCATTCTTGTAGGAGAGAATTGGGGAAGGCCCCCAACTGCCCCCGGGCAGGGAGAGCACCTCGGGCCTGTTGGTTTACAGAGAGACAGATGTTACATACCCAGCTCCATTGATGCGTGGTCACCAGTGACCAGAGAAGCTACTCGATGCAATGCATCTGTTTCAGATACAGAAATATAGAGAAGATATTTATTGAGATTTAAGTTATTGTTATTTATTACCGTTCACTAATGAGTTTCTCTTTTTTCCCTTATTTATTAAAGTTTCTTTTCAAAGGTGCCAAAGTATATGTGCTCGCAAAATGTAAAGAAAGGTGACAAAAGGAAATTCGAATTGGGAACAAGGGTCCATGCTTTTCAAAGTATTAAAAAGTTTTTTGCTAGGCAAAAATCACTTACTTTACCTGTTTAAGAAAATATCTCATTAATTTTCCCCAGATTTCAGCATTTTCCCCAATTTTTATTTGTGGAGCGTCTCAGGCAAGCCCCCTTTCCTGGAGCAGCGTGCAGAGACCACCGGCGCTTGATTTTATTTCTTCCTTGCTCCATCGCTGAACAGAAATGTTGTGGGCTCCACTTCCTGTTGTATTTAAGCTCTTAGTCCCCTCCATGTATACCTAGCTATACTATGCATAACCATATATAGAAAAGGTTCAGTTCCTTTTAACAGGTAGTCCTGGATTTAATGTTGACCTAAAAGTAATGTCAACAATGCTGTCAGGTAGCTACCATTTTACAGACTGCCTCCATCCCTGCTCACCCACAGCCCTCCCGAGAATATGCCGGCTGCCCTGTGCAGCATGGGAGACACAGGGGCCTTCCAGAGGTAGGGTCTACCAGGTCCTGTACAACTCCTGGGCTGTCACCGAGGGGTCAACAGCTGCTGCTGCTATATACCTAAACACCTGACAGTTCCCTGGGGAACAGATGGCTGAGAAGGGTGCTGAGGAAGCCACGTCTGGGCCAGCCACAGCCACACACAGAGCCTCATACTTAAGAGTGTGCTGCCTTTAAATGAAGGCGATCAGGGCCAGTGCAGCGGCTCACACCCATAATCCCAACACTTTGGAAAGCCAAGGTGGGAGGATCTCTTGAACCCAGGAGTTTGAAACCAGCTTGGGCAACATAGGGAGACCCTGTCTCTACGGAAACTTTAAAAATTAGCCAGGCGTGATGGTGCACGCCTGTGGTCCCAGCTACTCAGGGGGCTGAGGAAGGAGGATCACTTGAGTCCAGTAGGTCGAGGCTGCAGTGAGTTGTGATCATGCCACTGCACTCCAGCCTAAGTGACAGTGCAGTACCCGGTCTCAAAAAAAAAAAAAAAAAAAAAAAAACAGAAAGAGGTTGGAATGGGAGGAAGCATCAGGTGGGAACAGCCACCCCCTCCATGCCCTAGATTGTGAATTTGTCAGGCAGCCAACACACGTATGACACACTAGGCCTTATATTAGAGCTTGTTGCACATTTCATAAAAGGGATTTTCATCAAGGAGATAATCTGTTACTACCTTAATGGCTATTAGTCATAAAACTATGACAGATTTAGCAATTAAATGAAATACTGGCCTCCATCAAATAATCATGTCAGTTTTACAAAGTAACAAGAAGCAGCAGTTACCAGATATCCCATCCCCTTCCCTGAAAATACCCAAATTCTTCACGGTTCTGCCCTTCTCTGTCTTTTCTGCTCCCCTTGCCTGCCTGGGAAATGGAGGAAAGGCCTTCTCTCTCACCTTCTCTTGGGATCTTGCTGAGAATTCAGACTGCTCAAAACAGTGACAAACTCCAGCCATCCAGTCATTCATGGAGTGCAATTTGGATGTGGCCCCAGGGGCATCTGTCCTATTCAGAGAACCCTGGCAGGTGCGATAGCCACTGTTCCCAGGCTTCAACCTCAGTGACTGCCCCACACCCACACCAGCTCCCCATGGAGAGTCCCTGCCCAAAAAAAGCTGTAGTATCCAATGGGTGTTGACAGCTCGTTCCTGGCATCACCTACACACCACAAGCAGGTTTTAATGGAAGCAAATTGCTCTACCAAATCCACAAAAGGGTAAAGTTTGTGATTTTTCTTTATCATTGCGATCGCCATCTGATACAGTAAGGAGTGCACTTGTTTGAAAGTTCTGACTTCTCTGATCTGTCTCGGTCGTTTGTGTTATACAACCAAAGTTCTCTACAGACTTTATTTTTGTACAATATCATTTTGTAACTTTTTACAAATAAAAACTCATTTCTATCACTCTCTGTACTTCTGTACTTCCTTGCATGCACTGGGCGAGGCAGCCATCCACAAGCATTTATTAGGAATCACTGCCTTCTTACCACACAGCCCACTGGATGGTCAGTGGCCTTGCCCATCAACTCCCAGCAACCAATCACCACTCAGGAGGGAAAAAACTTGCAAAATTGTTCTTCATTCAGCAAACCCTTATGGTGTGCCTGCACTGTGCCGGGCACTGTTCCTGGCACCAGGGCTCTAATGGTGACCAAAGCAAAAACCTCTGCCCTCCTGGAGTTATTTTATTTGGGGAGAGACAGACAACATTCAAAAAAGTAAACTATGTACCGAGCCATGTGTTGAGAAATGCTAAAAGAATACAAACAGGATCCTATAATATAGACACTAACAGGGGAGCTTGCTTTAATTAGAAATGACGTTAAGACTGAAGTTAAGAAACTGTGCCAAGAGATCAGGAGCGTCCCAGGCAGAGGATGCAGCTTGTATGAAACTGAGTCACGTCAGGCGACTTCGCATGGTGCTCTATGGCTCTTCTGCATAGCCCCAGCCCAGGCTGCCCCACGGACGGCATTTGTGCCCCACTAGCCTTTGCCTGAAATGCCCCCTCTTCCCAACGCACGCCATCCCTGCGTGGAGACTTAGTGGACTCACGGGTACAACTTGTGGGTTCAGGCATTCAGAGTCCTTCTGCCAGGACTGGCTGGAAGAGGCTCCAGGGCGGTGCTGAGGCCAGCTGCATTTTCTCCAAGCCAAAATTCCAGTCCAAAGTCAGTGACTTGGAGTGGGAACACACGATGGTAAAACTCCTGCTTACCTCCTCTCCCTTTTTAGAGCTATTTTCCCAAAGTGTGTCCGGGATTACTTACACAGTAAGATGCTCCTCAAATTAAAAAAAAAAAAAGGGGAGGAGGACATGATGGTTCTCTGATCAAATAACTTTGGAAAATATTGAGTTAAATAGCATCAACCCATGCTTTAAAGTTTAATATATAATTGTAGAGCTTATCAGAGTCTTTATTGGGCCAATGATTGTTTCACAGTCCGGGGGGGCGGGTATCGTGTGCAGAATTCCCCATGTAGACATGACCATGGGTTCGTTGGTCTGTCTTCTTTCTCATCACACCTGGTGACCACCATGGAAACTATTTTGGGCCATTTTGCCTGTTTCTGTGAGCTTCATGGTGAGTCAGGAGCTGGACTAGAGATTAATAAGAGGCAGAAACTACTGGGCAGCTCCCTACTAGGAGGGCACCCCTCCCCAAACACACACACACACACACACACACACACATACACACACACACATATACATACACACACACACACATATACACACACACACACACATACACACACACATACACACACACACGGTATTGGGACCCTGGTTTCTTGCTCAGCATGAATAACAAAACAATTAACCAGTGGTCAACTTTAGCAACTTCCTTCAACCAAGAAAAGGAGAATGTGCTGAGAGCTGGGAAGTCCCCAGCAGCCTGGGGGCGCCTGCACCGTGCTCTCCCTGTCCTTCTTGGGCTGGTGCTTTGCTGGTCTGCAACCTTGAGTGCGTGCCACCTCTCACTGCGATCCCCAGAGGGAAGGCCACACTTGCTGGCCTCCAGCTCTGAAATCCGCGATGCAGAGAAGGGTGGAAGACCACTGGGTGAGGAGCCTGGATACTGGTCCCCACGGCCTTATGTGGCTTGTGCCCACGAGATCATCTCAGGCCAGCTTTCTGCTGTGTTAAGGAGGTGCTCTGGGGGACCATGAGTGTGGAGTGAAGTAGGTTAAAGTAACTTTTAAAATATCAATCCACTCCCGGGATAGGGGTAGAAAATCAGAATTTCCTGAACCTAAGTCTCAAAAACAAAGATCTTCCCTTCGAACACAAGATCCTACTTGGGCCACGGCCGATGTACTATCAGACACCCGAATCCTTGGGAGGTGGAAGCCTGTAGCCTCCACTCATAGTCCACCCAAGGAGGGGGCACGGGTTTCAGCCGAGAGTCTCTGGTTTTTTTCCGTCAGGTAATGAAATGTCTGAGCCCCAAGGGACTTCTTGGGATACACATTTGTTAACAGAAGCATTGCTAGAATCCCAGGCAATAGTTAACTCATCTTTAGTCTCAGCCTCATAACATCCTAAATGAAATTAAAACCAAATGCTGCCAAGTCATCCCTGAAAATAGTTGGGGAAACGAAGGGCAAGCACACATTTACTCATGTAAGACAAGGAATACACTGCCACGTCCCTGGCCACGGCAGCTGAGTGGGATGAAGATAGGACTGCAGATGCGGGGAGGAGTCTGTGATACCCCAAAAGCGAGACGTGCAGGGAGAGGTGTGGAGAGAGCGCTAGAATGCCTCAGAGAGAGCCGCAGGTGGGATGAAGAGCCGGAAGGAAAATGAATCAGAAACAGCTACAGATTAGTGTTGCCTGAGAAAACACAGGACACCTAGTTAAATCTGAATTTCAGATAAGCAGGCACAATTTCTTAGTACAAGCATGTTTCATGTAACATGTGGGACATGCGACATGTGGAACATACTCATGCTTGTTGTAACAAATAATACATATTTGTAATTTGTCTGAAGTTCAAATGTAAGTGGGCATGCTGTATTTTAATTTGCTAAATTTGGTGAAAGTTACGTTGGAGCTGGACCTTGCATATGTGTAGGAATCTGTCACGTCGGTTAGGTCAACACAGGCTGGGATGGACGATAGACAGACACTCCAAGCAGGAGGAACAGTGCGACTCAAAGTGTCAAAAGGGCAGGGTGGTGGGCTCAGAGTGGAATAAGCCATTAGACACGGCAAACGCAGTGCCTAGGGACCCAAACACGTTTTAAACATTTTTTAAATCAAAAGAAAAATAAATATAACAATCATGCATATACAATAATTAACCCAGTTTAGACTGTACTTGCCTATAGCAATGCAGTTGTATATTTTAATGGAGAAGGGGCCCACAGAGACAAAAATGCCCGGAGCCCATGAAGAGTCATCATGCAGCCCTGGGTGCACTGCTAACAGCAAATTTTCTGTGTCCTCTGCTTCCAGTTTCCTTCTAGTTTTCTCTTTTTCATGAACTATTAAAGCCAACCTTGTCCTTAAAAAAAAATCCCAGCACTTTGGGAGGCTGAGGCAGATGGATCACCTGAGGTCAGGAGTTCAAGACCAGCCTGGTCAACATGGTGAAACGTGGTCTCTACTAAAAATACAAAAATCAGCTAGGCATAGTGGCGCACGCCTGTAGTCCCAGCCACTCGCGGGGCTGAGGCACAAGAATCACTCGAACCCAGGAGGCGGAGGTTGCAATGAGCCTAGATCGTGCCACCGCCCTCCAGCCCAGGCGACAGAGCGAGATGGAAAAACAACCCTTCTTTCCATTCTTCAAGTTAGATTGTTTTCTCTAGATATTTGCATTTACTGCCTACTTAGCGAAGGATAAACTTAAGGCCATGCCATTGATAGTCCAAGGCTCATTCATGATTTCTGAGAAGCGACAATAAGAATCAGTGGCCCAAGGGCATGACAACAGAGGGAAGAGCAGGTCAGGTGGAAGGTGGACGGGATGGGCAGACCATGGGAGGGGTGGAGAGAAGACTTTTGCCTCCAGGAAACCAGAGAACCATAGAGCTGAGCAATGGCGAAGAAGGATGAGGTTTCAGAACATGTGGAATCGATTGTTTTAACTTGGGAAACTCTTCAAAGTGATACATGTAGGGGATTTTAACCCACTCCCTGCTCGCCTGCTCTGGGCCTGGGTCTCATTCATTCAATTAATTACTGAGCAGCTATCTCCTGCCAGGGGAGGATGTAAGATACAGAGACAAGGCTGCAAGGGGCTTCCAGATTAGAGGGACAGAAATGGAGCATGAGAACGTGGGGGAGGGGCAGCAATGGAGGGTGTCATGGAGCTCCCTGAAGGGACAGAGAATCCCGCTGAGCCTGGGGAACAGGGGAGGAGAGTGGGGTGGTCTGGGCGGGGTGATGCTATCAGGGACCACCTCCTGGAAGTGGCTGCCAATTAAAGGATGAGTAGGAATTTCCCAGAGAGGGCGTGAGGTGGGGGAGGGCATTCCAGACTGAAGGGACACCGAGAGCTCAGCCGTGACACCCAGACACAGCCTGGGGTGCTGTTGGCTTGAGAAGCTGGAGATGGGGAGAGGACAGAGCTCTGGATCGCAGGGTGGCTACGCTTAGAGAGGAGAGAGGCCTCTCGTGGGGAAAGGCAGCCGTGAGGTGGGGGAGCAGGGAGCTCTGCTCTGCCAGGCTCCAGGCTCCTTGGGAAAATGATCATTTTGGATCTTCACACCCACCCCTCCCTTTCAGACCCACTGCCTCTGCAGCCCCTCTGGAGCCCACACTTTCTTTTTTTTTTTTTTTTTTTTTTTTTTTTTTGAGACGGAGTCTGGCTCTGTCGCCCAGGCTGGAGTGCAGTGGCCGGATCTCAGCTCACTGCAAGCTCTGCCTCCCGGGTTTACGCCATTCTCCTGCCTCAGCCTGCCGAGTAGCTGGGACTACAGGCGCCCGCCACTTCGCCTGGCTAGTTTTTTGTATTTTTTTAGTAAAGACGGGGTTTCACCGTGTTAGCCAGGCTGGTCTCAATCTCCTGGCCTCGTGATCTGCCCGTCTCGGCCTCCCAAAGTGCTGTGATTACAGGCTTGAGCCACCGCGCCCGGCCGAGCCCACACTCTCAAGGCCCTGTCTGCACTGATCTCATTCTCCCACAGACTCGCCTCCTGGGAACATTTGCTTCCCACAGGAGACTCAGTAGGACTGCAAGGCTTCCAGACCAGCATTTCCCAAGCTGCCCGGTGGAACCCTAGGAAGCATCCATGGAGACTGGGATTCCTTGATCTTAAACATGGGAGAAATGTTACATACTTCAGTCCCCTCTCACGCAGCAGCAGCAGCAGCAACATCACACATTCCATACGAAGCAAGGATCTGCGAAGGCCTGTGGAGGGAAGCCCCGTTTAATCTTGTCTAAC